AAAAAGTCAGTTTATTAGGGTGTGTTTGGTAACGTTTACGTTTTCAGTTTATATTTACAAAAATTTTATAAATTGGTTTTTGTTTATTTTTTGTTTATTTTTAGAAAAACATAAACTACAAACGCGTTTGGTAATTGACAAAATGTTTAAAAAATTTTAAAAATATAAAAAAGAGTGAGAAATGGCAAGTGGTGGCAAGTGGCGGCGGAAGATGGCGGTGGAAAGTGGTGGCGGTGGGTGGTGGGTTACAAACACATGAATGAAACACATTTTTTGTGTTTTCATTTTTTGGCCAAATTTATAAACTGAGACCACTGATTTATAAATCAAAAATTTTACCAAACAAGTTTTTATTTGAGTTTTTAAAATTTTTGTAAATATAAACAGAAAACTGAAAACGTAAGTGTTACCAAACGGCACCTTAGAGTTTGTTTGCTACCATTCCGTTTTCAGTTTATATTTAAAAAATAAATAAATTACATATACCCCTCAAGGTTTGGCTAAATTACAAATACTCCTTGAGATTTGAGAAATTACAAATTCCTCCCTGAATGTTATATTTGCATAACAAATTAGGAGGTAATTTGTTATGAAATATAAATCACAGGGGCCATTTGTTATGAAAATACAAACCTCAGGAGGCCGGATGTAATTTCTGAAACCACAGGGATATCTGTAATTTAACTAAATCTCGAGAGAAGTATATGTAATTTGTCCTTAAAAAAAATTAAAAAACTGTCATAAAAACTTGTTTGACAATTTTTTCAGTTTATAAATGGTTGTCTCAGTTTATAAATTTGAGGAAAAAACGTAATCTCAAAAAATGAGTTTACGTTTTTAGTTTTCAAATTTTTTCTTTCAAATATTTTTTTTAAATATTTTTTTCAATTAATTTTTTTTTCAAATTATTTTTTTTCAATTAATTTTTTTTTCAATTAATTTTTTTTCCAAATAATATTTTTTTTCAATTCACTTTTTTTTCAAATAATTTTTTTTCAAATAATTTTTTTTTTCAATTACCTTTTTTTTCAATTAATTCTTTTCCCAATTAAATTTTTTTTCAATTATAATGTGTGTGATCCCATTGTCATAAATAATAAAAATGAATATAAATATTTTAGGCCTAAACAAACATATTTTTTAGTTTATGTTTTAAACTTTTTAAAAACATTTTGTTCAAACCAAACGCGTTTATAATTTATGTTTTTCTAAAAATAAACAAAAATCAATTTATAAAAATTTTGTAAACATAAACCAAAAACGTAAACTTTACCAAACGCTACCTTAGTGTATTAGTTTATTTGAATCACATTCAGTGTTTTGGTTTGAATTTTTTAGATTAAGTTTTTTGAAAACTGAGTTTTTTATTTTTCGTATTTTTTTGTTTTTAATGGATATTTTTAAAATTCTAAGTATATTTTTATTTTTTTTAAATGCACCTTACTTAGGTATATCTAAAAAGTAAAGAATTTATGAAAAAATATTTTAAAAAATTAATAAATACATAAAAATATGAAAAATATACTGAATTCTTTTTTGTTTTTGTATTTTTGGTATTTAGTGAAATTTAAAAAAAAAATCACAAAAATTATACTTTCTATGTGTATTTATGTTAAGTGTGTCTAAAAATTTTAAAAATTTCTTAAAATATTTAAAAAATTCAGTTAAAAAAAATAGAAAACAAAAAAGTAAAATTTTCTAGAACAAGTGTATATATATTTTTTGTACATTTAAAAAAAATCAATAAGCCAAAAAAAATCACTTCCTAATAAAGACAAAATGAATAATTTATTGATTCAACGGTTGTCTAATATTTTCCAAAATTCCAAGTTATACAACATTGTTTTTGCTATTACTTATTGACGTTTATCAATTTATACAGTAATTAAATAATGAATATACATATACATATAATTTTAATAAAGTAAAGTTACATTCATCAAATTTTTGTTTAAATTTGTTTATAATTAGTTTCATTTGGACAACGCATGAAATTCAATGCATTGATGACACATTACTTCATAAATAAATTTAATTAATGATTAATCTACTAACATTTTTCAAAATTCCAAGTTATACAACATTACTTTTGCTATTACTTATTGACGTTACAGTAATTAATTATTGAATATATATATATATATATATATGTGTATATGTAATTTGCCCTTTTACTAAAAGGGTTTGGTTATGGTGTGCAACTTACACCTTATACCTTACACTTACACCTTACACTTACACCTTGAAATTTAATGCATTGATGACACATTACTTCATAAATAAATTTAATTAATATTTTAGTAAAAAAATTAATGATTACCACATTGAAAATAAAATCATCATTTATCATTTTACTAAAATAAACATTTGATAGGAAGACTTAAAGCTATGTTTGGTTTTGATTTTTTTGGCTGAAAAAGTACAAAAAACAAAATTGACTATACAAATTAATAAGACAAAATATTACCTTCAAATCATAATTATTATATTTATTCTCTCATAAAAATCAAAAACAAAAATCAAGCGAGATTAAAATAACCAAAAAAATAAATTATTTTAGCTCTTTCCCAAAGAAAAAGCCAATTTTATTTGTTTAACAAATGAACCATTCATTAGAAAATCATTATAATGTTTTAGCCTCCGTTTGGGAAGTGGATTGATTTTTTAATTTTTTGACTATTTTAGTGTGGGCTAAAAAGCTTAGTTTGAAAAGGACTTTTTAATTTTTTTTTTGCTATTTTAGCTTGGGCTAAAAAGCTTGATTTGGGAATGACTTTTCAACCTTTTGTTTTTTTTGACTTTTTTTGGTAGAAAATAGTATAATGATTATCGGTTAGATGTGATTTTTGTTTGTTGTAACTAAAATAACTTGTTTTGTTTTTTATGACTATTTTAGCCCCAAAATTACTTGCCAAACACCACCTAGACATATTTTGTTAACTTTTAGTACTAGTTAAAAAAATTAGAAAGCCATTATAAAAATAAATTATTCTCTTTATTCTTATATATATATATGTAAAAAATTAAGAAATCATTAACAAGCCAAATTCTCAAATGGAAATGAAGAAATAAAAAGACAAATCAAATATAATTAAATTTTACATTTAAAATTACAGATAAGTGATTGTGAGATGAAAATTAATTTTTAAATAATTTTTAAATTGATAAGAATAAATTTATACTATTATAAGAGAATACAGGTATAAGTAGTCGGTCAATCCATTACTCATTTTGAGTAGTGTCCGTCTGACATGGACTTAGACGGTGCAAGTTAGTTCAAAACAAAGGAAGGTAGCTAAACTGCGCCAGGGCAAGCAAAGCAAAGAAAGACTTGACAGAAAAGTCTAATAATGTAATCTGCGTGTTTGAGTAGTAGGTTTTTATGTAATTTTTGTTAGTCATAGGAAAAAAAAAATTTAGTATTTAGAAAGATAATTAAGTTTTTTTGTGATTGAATATAATGTTTGTAAAAAAAAAATAAAATGATTATAGAATTAGATGTGATATTTTGTTTAAATTTATTTTTTTTGATTTTACAAAAATTTTGTCTTTTAAAAAAAAAAATAAAGAAAAAAACCAAAACCAAATCTTACCAAACACCATGTGACATTTGGAGGGAAAGGGTGACTTTCGGAAAACTAGTTAATATTTGCCTGTGAGAAAAAGGAGGTGGCACTTCTACACTCCTCTCTCTCTCTCTCTCTCTCTCTCAAAAGTTTGAACAACATTCAAGGCAAAGGCAAATGTAAAGAGAAGAACTTCAATGGACTTGGAACAGATGCTTCAATGTTCCCAACGCATTTAATCCACGTTTCGGAAACACAACGGCGGTGTTTGGCAATAATTTTTTAAATTTTTTATTTTTATTTTTTCATTAAAAGATAAATTTTTTGCAAAATTAAAAAAATAAATTCAATCAAAATATCACATCAAATCCCATAATCATTTTACTTTTTCTCTTACAAACATTATATTCAACCACAAAAAAATTTATCTTCCTAAACACACAAAAAAATTTCTTCAAATGCGAGTGTTTGAAAAGTGAATTTTCTTATAAATTTTTTTAATTATAATATATTATTAGAAAAAAAAATTTGTATTTAAAAAGATAGTTAAATTTTTTTGTGATTAAATATAATATTTGTGAAAAAATAAAATAAATTGATTATGAAATTTAATATTATATTTTGTTTAGATTTAATTTTTTTTAATTTTATAACTAATTTGTCTTTTAATAGAAAAAAACAAAAAAAATATTCAAAAAATTTCTTCCCAAACACCACGAATACCCATTATCAAATCCTACAACAATTATTTAAAAAACATTATATTATTTTCATAAAAATAATTCTAATTTACTTAAAAGTCCTTAATGTTAAATTATTTCTCAAAATCTTAATAAAAAGCACTTATTAGTCTCATAATTCTTGTATATATTATTTTCGTAACATAATCCCTCAATGTGTAATGCAAGCAAAAATTACAAGTTGTTAACTTAGAGCATTCCCACCAAAGCCCTAACCCCCTCCTTACCTATTTTAAAGAATAAATGACTCCTTATTCACCTGATCAGATCTCCTAAATAATTTCTTAAATTAATTTTTGCCACAATGACTCCCAAATAGAGTCACTGTAGCTTCCTTTTCTTTTCTTTTTTTTCTTTTTTTTTTTGTTACTTTACTTTGTTTAGAGACTGCAATACACATAATTTTTATTTTTTAAAATTTATAATTAAAAATTATATTTTAATAAAATAAGAAAAAATAAAGAATTTATTAGTAGAATAGATAAAAAAATAAAAAATATGTTGAAATAAGTAAATAAAAAAGTAATTCTTAAAATAAAGAATGAAGTTTTTAATAATATTTTAGAATAAAATTTAAGCAAACTGATGCGAATGCTATTACACCTCTATGAAAATATAATTATTATAAATTGATCTCACTAACACAGAATGAGATCAAATACAAATAAAAATCATGACATAAGACAGGCTATTTTGTGCCCCTGGTTCGTGTCTATCATCTCTCGATTGCTTCTCCATAAAAATATAATTATCTCGAATAGTTCAAACTAAAACGCAATTTCTCTTTTGAAAAAAAAAATGCAATTTGAAGCTAAAGATTGTAAGACATCAATTCTTTCTTCCACTAAATTACAACAAAGGAGAGAGAGAGAGAGAGAGAGAGAGAGAGAGAGAGATAGGAAAGGCTTTAGCAAAGGTTGGATTGGAATGGCATTGGGCTGGTGAGGCTCGGAGCTCAACAACAAAACCCCATTGGGGCAGTTTCCCAAGCTGTTGTTTGCCAGTTATAGCCAGCCAGTAATACTTCTACTAGTTCACTCTAGTGTATGTGACTACTAGCAGAGAGAGAGAGAGAGAGAGGGAGATAAATAGTGAGATTTGGCCTTAAAACAAGATTGTGATCTCTCCTCTCTCTCTCTCTCTCACACAAGAAACTTTTATCAATGTGACACCGAACCGACTACGTACGCCTATTTATTCATCTTCCTCAATGACATCACCGCCACTATGGCCGCCGTTACAGCTGCTTCCGCCGCCGCTGTTCCTGACACCGCCACCATCACTGCCACCACCGCCATTATGACAACCATTATTATTATTATTGTTGACAGTCTTGTCGTCGTCATAATCTTCAGCTTCGGAGCTCTTGGAACTGACGGTGATAGGTGGAGATTGAAGAGAAGTGGAAGTGACGCGGCCGACAATGGGGTTGGGCTCCGTCACCTGCCGCCCGTCACGCGGCGGCGCAAACACCACCGGCAGGTACTCCTCCGCTTCGCACGGGAACTTCGAGTTCTTGAAGTGCTCTTTCAATGCCTCCACTCCCTTCCCCAAATCAAAATTCACACTAATGTAATCCATATATATATATATATACACAGAGAGAGAGAGAGATAGAATACCTGCAATCTAGCATAGGTGACTTCGCAGATTTTCTTGGAATTGAAGACTTCCCAATTTTGAAGATGAAAAGCCTTGTAGAGCCTCCATGTTGCCTCCGGCGAGGTCATATTCACGAACCCATATCCCACATTACACTTGTTTCTGTTTTTCAAAAACATGAAACACAAAACACAAAAGCACATACATAAATTAAACCCAAAAAACAAAATAAAATAAAATAAAGAAAAATAATAATAAAACCCAATATGTATTTAAGAGATCAGGAAAAGAGAGAATCACATGAAATCAATAGGGAGGTATACAAAATCGTAGGAAGACAAGGGCTGATCATCGCCGCCGTCGGCCACCTGCTCGTTGCAGTGAATGCAGTGGTTGTCCAACATATTCAGCAGTAGTTTTTGACTGCGCCACCACCCACAAATGACAAACCCACAACACCCCAAGTCAAAATACTCAAAATTTTATATAAAATAAATACATTTAATAACCCAATAAAATAAAATAAAAAGAAGAGAAAAATAGGAGAGGCAAGGGCATAACCTGTACTTGTTTGGTATGTTTTTGATCATGACAGTGGTCCTGGAATCTCTGCAATTTGATTCCATAATCGCATCTTCGTTTATTAGAAAACGAGGATCGAAATTCTTTGCTTGTCTTCCCTTCAATGGCCTATTACTCTTGGTGCTTGTCTGTTGTTGCTGATTTGCACTCTTCTTTGAACTCTTTTTCATAGGATTGTTATTATTGCACCCTCGAATTCCATTGTCAACCTCACTCTTTACACATACAGCCGCCATTGAAGAAGCTTCAACAACCCCACCTCCATTCCCATTAGGGTTTCTTTTACAGAAACTTGATTTCTTCCCCATCGTTTGAGTTTGAGTTTGAGTTTGAGAATTGTAGCAACGCGGCGGCAGGTGGAAGGCGGGTATTTTACGATGAAATGATGGCGGCGGCGGCGTGAGAATTGTAGCAACGCGGCGGCAGGTGGAAGGCGGGTATTTTACGATGAAATGATGGCGGCGGCGGCGGTGGTGGCGGCGGCGGCAATGGAAAACAGGTTGAATTCTTTCTTGAATAGTTTGAAGAAGAATTGAAGCTTTTGATTGTGGTTTGTGTGAATTTGGAGAACCTGTTGACATGGCCACCGGGTCGACTAAATTCGATGACAACGTGCGAGCCATGAATTTCCTTTCCATTCATCTCCGAAAGAGCCTTGGCTGCGTGTCTAACATCATAGAACTCCACAAACCTTTGGTGCCTCTTCAATGGCGTCTCTCTCAATTCCTTCACAGGACCTAAAATCAACAAATCTTTTAAATTAAACCAACAAAAATAAAATCTGCAGATTTGATAAAAGCAAAACTGACCCAATAATATATAATTTGACATGAATCGATACGTGTATATGTGCATAAAATATAAAATTCATACCAAAAGCTTGAAAGATATCTCTGAGGCTAGTGGTGGAGACAGAAGAGTCTAAATTGAAGATCACGAGGGTCCCTTGGTTGTGCCCGTCGGAGACACCAGCCACCGCCGGAATCGTGAACTGGGCCCACACCGCGCGGCCAGAGATAAGACCTCGACCCCGCGGCGGCGGCGGAGGAGGCGGAGCCACTACCAAATTCTCTAATTCGTAATTATTCCGAGCAATCTCTTGGAAGTGCTTACTCAGCCTGCTCTGCTGCCGCAAGTGCTGCTCCCTTATCTCCGCCTCCGCCGCCGTCGCGTCTCTCAAATCGTAAAAATACACCGTCACGATTCCGTCGCGGACTCTCTCCATCTGCACCGCTCTTACATCTCCGAACACCTCCAATTCCCTCCTCACCTCCGATTCACTCACGCCGATGGGGACAGAGCTCAGGAGGAGAACCCTCGTGGCCGTCGTTGACGGCGGAAGCGGCGGAGGGAGTGGAACGTACGGCGGCGGAGGACAAAGCGGCACGACTTGAGGAGGCGGAGGAGGGTATGGGTAGTAAATTTGGGTTGGAAGAAGGGTTATTTGGTTGTGGCTATACGGGTTTGTTGGTCTGAACTCGGCTGCTTTTGGATCCAAACTACCCGGAAACCTCACAAAACCAGTGTCTCCCATGGCGGTTTTGTGGACAAAAAGCGGTTTGCCGGCGAAGTCAAAGCAAGTCAACCAAGTTGAAGTAGGTGGTGAGCGGTTTTCCTACTCTTCCTTATACTCCAGCGCTTAGCTTCCCGAGTAGACTGCACATATCTCTCTCTCTCTCTCACTCTGTAAAAGGACAAAAACAACACAATATCTCTCTCTCTCTCTCTCTGGCGCTCTCTCTCTCTCTCTTCTTGTATGTGTAAAAAAGACAAAACAAAATGAGAAATGGTGGATTGCTTTTAAACCAGTTCTGTTGTGTACAAAGGTGAATGGGAGCACTGTTTATATTTATGTTAAATTACGAATTTACCCTCTGGCTTGAAAATTTGAGAGAGGATGGATATGGGCCGTACACGTGGCGTGCGAAAGAATGTTGGGGTGAAAGTATGTCATTTGCGAAATTAGTTCGAGACTCGAAGGTTGGTTTTGGAATATTTTAAATAAATATATTTTTTGATTTTTTATGAAATATAAGTTAGATAGGGATTGAGTTTGAAGCGATATTGTAGAGAAATAATGTAATTTAAATAAGATAATATAATTTAAATAGAATAATAACTTTTTGACTTCTTTAATATATGCTAAACAAAGCCTAATTAGAAAGGATTTGAGAGGATAGAAATAAATATATTTTTTAATTTTTAATAAAAATTTGTATAAAAAAATAATATGATTTAAAAAATATATTAATATTATAAAAAATCTCAAATAACTTCTTAATTTATGGGAGTTTGAGATGATATAAATAAGCATATTTTTAAATTTTTTATGAAAATTTGTATAAAAAATAGAAAGGTAATATGATTAAAAAAAATATGCTAATATAAAAGATGTCAAATAACGGCTTAATTTATTATAAAGTGGAGGTATGAAGCATTTTTTATCTAAATTATTATGAAAAGATGTTACATCTCAAAAGTGTCAAATTGAATTTTTTATATACTTCTTGTTTTGAGAGTATTTTGACTATTATTAAATTAAATTTATTTTATTTATAAATAATATATTTTAAAAAAATTATAAAATAAACCATTCAAATTATTAAAACAAATATATAAGATCATTTCCAATGGTGAATTAAATTTGGCATCAAATTTAAATTTTGGTAAAAAAGTCACATTTTAGTGCTCCAACAGTTTCACCAAATTAGTATCAAAATGAGAATTTAACAAAAAAATCATCAAACTGAGAACATGGTACAGATTTCAGCAAATTACTGTGCGTGACCGTTGAAGGAGGTCAACCGGTCAACCAGCCGGTTGCTTGGCTGATTGACCAACCGGTCGACCGATTTCCTTTCAAATAGTGGGTTCGAACCGGTCAAAAAAAGGTTCAAACAGGTTAAAAAAAAAAAAATTGCTCTTACCAGTCGACCGGCCGATCGACCCTTCCCTTTTGATGCACGGTTGGAGCAAGCCGTATCAAATTGGAAAAATTGACTTTTTTTTACTCAAATTTAGTGAAAATTTTGGTTTACCGTTGGAGATACTCTAATAATAAGTTTTATAAACATCTAAAGAAAAAATCTTTCAAAGCCTTCGTTTGGAAAGTGGGTCGTTTTTTTGACTTTTTTGACTATTTTAACCTGGGCTGAAAAACTGGGTTTGGGAATGACTTTTTGACTTTTTTGTGAGAGAATAGTATAATAATTATGGGTTGAATGTGAAGTTATATTTGTTGTGGCTAAAATAGCCTATTTCGTCTTTTGTGACTAAAATAGCCAAAAAAACTCTTGCCAAAGGGTGACTCAAGCAAAGTTTGGCATATTTCAAATAATTCATCTTTTTATCTTTTTTTCATCACATCACCTCTCTACTTTTCTGCACATCTTTTCATAAAAAGACAAAAAATACACTTATTTAGGTCATTCCAAACAACCCCTCAAATTTAAACTTAACAAAAAAATCACTTTTTGTAAATATATACATTAGTAAACATGCTTGTATTATACAACTACTCCATTAGGCCTTGTTGGGAAAGTCAGATTTTGAACAAAAAAATAATTAAAAATTCACTATAAATTATCTTTTTATTTTTTTATTTTTTATATATTTTTCCATAACAAATTAAAAAAAATTAAAAAATTAATTTCCAAGCCAACTCTAAACAAAAACAAAAATGTAAATTTAATTGCCAGACCCTTCAAGCTCTGTGTGACCTCGTTATATCATTTTCTCCACTATTGTCATTTCAATAATCTTCTAGCTATTAATAATTTTGATCACTTAAAAATATTTAATGAATATATGATTAAAAAAATAAAACTGAAAATGAAACGCATGATTTGTGCCAGTGAAGCTCAAGCAAGCAAAACAATGGTAGCGTTTGGTAACTTGGTAATACAAGTAGACGTAATGATTTGTGTATTAAGGCTTATTTTGGCAATTAAAAAAATAATAATTTATAAGTTTATTTAATTCACATTATCTTTTTATTTTTTTTACATTTTTTTAAATAAAAAATTAAATATGAAAATTTTCCTATTTCTTGAAATAGGCCTAAATATTATCGATAAGGCCTCATTTGTGTATCACTACAACAAATTTTAATTTTAGATATCAAAATTTAGGAACAAAATTATTTTTTAAGGACTAAATAATTTTGTTGCTAAAAATATTGTTATTATATTTTTAGCAACATAAATTGGACATTAGTGTTGAATTATTATATTTTTTAGACCAATTTTTTTGTCTCAAAAAATAAACCATTTTTAGACCAAATTATTTTGTACCAAAAAGTCTATTTATTAATGACATTTTCAAAATTTTGTTTGTAAAAGCTTTATTTTTTACTTTTCGGGACGACATTTTAACGACTATTCTCGTGTCGATAAAAATTAGTCCCTATGCCTTTTGCAACAAAATTTTTACTTTTTTGATTTCTAAAACTCTTATATGTTGTAGTGTAATTTTAGTCAAAAAAATCACTATAAATTGTCACATATTCTCTATTTTTTTACACATTTATTCGTAAAAAAATAAAAAATTACTAAAATACCCTATTCTCAAACGAGACCTAAGAGTAAATAAAAGCCAGTTTGCGTCTTTTGTTTTGTTTTTGAGATAAAAACTCAAATTGAGTTGGCAAAATAATAATAACTATGCTTGGTTATCATTTTTCAAAAATACTTTTTAAAAAATTTTACTTCTTATTTTCCTTATTTTTTTGTTTTTATTGAATTTTTTTAATATTTTGAACAATTTTTTTAATTTTTAGACATACCTAACATAAATATACCTAAAAAGTAAAAAAAAAAAATGAAAAAAACCTTTTAAAAATTCACTAAATACCAAAAATATATAAAAAAAAAACGAGAATTCAATACATTTTTTATATTTTTATGTATTTATTAATTTTTAAAAATAATTTTTCACAAATTTTTTACTTTTTAGATACATCTAAGTAAGGTGCATCTAAAAACATAAAAAAAAATGTTTAAAATTTTAAAAATATTCACTAAAAACAAAAAAATACAAAAATCATAAAACTCAATTTTCAAAAAACTTAATTCAAAAAATTCAAACTAAACACACTAATAATTAAAAATCATTTTTTAACTTTTTATTCATTTTAAATCACATATTATTTCTCACATTTTTTACATATCTTTTGAAAAAAAAATTAAAAAAAATTTAAAAAATTAACTTTTAACCATTTCCCGAAAATAACCCTTAATCATTTTACAGTTACGTAAACTAAGCCACTCAAATCACTGGACTTAATTCCAATACTTTACTTTTATTGATTTATTTGTTAAAAATAAATAGTATATTAAAGTTGACTTTTTGGAAAGAAAATAAAAAATCAGTGTTTAATTTCAATTTTATGAATTCAGTTTTTTAAAAATTAATTTTTTTATTTTTTTTAGTAAATATTTTGAAAATTTTAAGCAATTTTTTATATTTTTTAAATGCACCTTACTTAATGTATCTTAATAGTAAAATATTTATAAAAAATATTTTAAAAAATTAATAAATACACAAAAATATGAAAAATATACTGAAATTTTGTTTTTTTATTATATATTTTTTGTATTTAGTGAATTTTTTAAAAAATAAAATTACAAATATTATACTTTTTAAGTATATTTATGTTAGGTGTGTCTAAAAATTAAAACAAAATTCTTAAAATATTAAAAAAATTCAATGAAAATAAAAAAAAATACAAAAAATGAAAAGTAGAATTTTCTTAAAAATGAATCCTAAAAACTAAAATCAAATGAGTTTTCTTATTCATTAAGCTAGTTTTTAAGCCACAAAAATCAAAATCCAATTTAAGTTTCTGTTGGTTTTAGATTTTTGACTAAAAAAACACAAAAAAAATAAATTTGACTATATAAACTAATAAGACAAAATATCACATTTAAACCATAATCATTATACTTTTTCTCTCATAAAAATTCAAAAAGTCAAAAAAATCAAACCAAACGAGACTAAAAAAACTAGATTAAAAAGTCCCATCACAAAAAAATCAACTAAAGAAACTAATAACAAGCGAAGGCTTAATCTGTATTCGTTTAGACTCAATTTAGAAGATAATTATTCTTGACACACTTTATAGTATGGTTGTATTAATAAAATTTTGGTTTGAAAATTATTTTTCACCTTAATAAATTTATTTTCCTTTTATTACAAAATATATTTTCATATTCACCCAAAAAAATATATATATTTTTTCTATCATACATATCACAAAATGCGATAAACATTTTCCCATTGAAACAAACCAAATGCCAATGCTATTCATTTTTGTAGTAAATGCATTAATTACAAAATAATTTATTATAATTGTATCCAATCTAATTATGTCGCATTAATTACACAACAACAAATGTGCTAGACATTTATTAACAAGATTTAATTAGAAAAAAGATTATAGTAATACTAGGTGCATATATTCAAATCACATGGTAAGATGGGTTTCACAAAAAGTAAGCCCTACATATCCTGCATCATGTAGGCCCATCTCTTATTAGATATTTATGTTGTATTTTGTATTTTGTATTTCGCACTTGCACAATTTATTCAATAGGGATTCTTTTACTGTGTATAATCCTACTATAAAATGTATAATTTTATTTTAAAATTTTATAATATCAATTATAAAATATGTAATCTCATTGTAAATTAATGTAATAAAAAAATATTATAATCAAATCATAAACTTTTATAACATCAACC